TGACGTCTGGAAAATTTGTGTCTATGACAACTTTTGCTCTACTACTCGAGGTCTATCTACCCTGAAAGTTTCAGAAATTTTCGTTCGGCCGTTTCTTAGAAACACCGGAAAGGGGGGGGGGGCCCTTAATGTCGTTGATGAAATTATATTTTCTTATAAGAAAATTGCATTCTATATATATGTTTTAGAAACAAGAGCGAAATTGAGTCGAATATTTAAGAAAAGAGACTTGATGGTTTCGATCATTTTGAATAGCTTTTAAAAATTTTTTCTTAATAGTGGTTATTGTTTTGTAGTTGGTTACAAATTCCTTGATCTACTCCGATTTTCTTGTTCAATTGATTCCTTCTCTTAAGATGCCCATGCAGATTTAATTGACACAAATAATAAAGTAACTCTCTTTATCACACTCCTGTCTATGCGATTTGATAAGAAGCTATGTGCTAAATTAAGATCTTTTAATTCCAGTAATCAGAAAAATATAACTTCTAATCATTTGTTTTTCGGCTTCCGATTCATTTTGATACGATCTGTGTCAATCTAGTAATTCTAGTTGATCAAATAAAATTAACATATATTGTTCTTGTCGTTAATTATTATCTCGCATCGAAGCTAATTCGATTGATTTTGAATTATGTTCTTTTAGAATGGTCTGAATTATATATATGGTGTAATAATGATGAAAAAGAAGATTTTTTTGATTGTGTACAAATACGACAAAATAGTATAACAAATACTATTTGTCTTCAATATGTTTCATGTATTCAACAATCTCAGTATATATGCGAAGGTTAATTTATTCTTATTGAACATTAAAAAGTCATAAGCTTGAAATCAATTCTTATATTTAGCATCACCTCTCGTTCAATACGAATTAGAAACAAATATAGCTGATGCAGAACGTTCAGATATAAAAAATAAAAATGACGAAATAATGGTTAGAGCTCCAGCTAAAGTACCAGCTTTAACGACTAAACGTACCACTTTACGAACAACTGTGAAAACAACAATACGAACAACCGCCAAAATAACTGCAAAATTAACGACACAAACAACTGCAAAAACAACACAAAAAAAACCTGGTTTAAATACTAATAATATTGTAGATACTCTCACAGGTGGAATTAATGCTGTCGGTCAAATTTCTAATGCACTAGGAAATGTATTGGGTAGAAAAACGAATAAAACCAAATTCTACTAATCGTATAATATTATATATTTTTCTCTTTCTATCTAGCTGGAAATACAAATCAAAATTCACAGCAACCAAATGGTGAATAAAATAATTTTCTTTTTATTGATTTTGATGATTTAATCTATTATTATTAGATCATCGAATTTTCTAACGAGAAAAGTCTCCTTCATTAAATAGATAGTTTTAAGAATTTTTTTATATTCAATACTGTAGTTCGCCCTCATGAACCTTAGACAAATTGTTTCTATAAATTTTGATTTGAAACTTTCCCAATCTTTTCATTGTTTCTATTCTAAGATACGAGTATGATAAAAGTGTGTCATATTTAAATTTCTCATATAGACTGAAATATTTAATATCCTTATTTCAGCATAGGAATGAATCAAAAGATCCGAAACTTGCATGATGAAATATTCTCGTTGAAGCCAATCTTTATGCAAAGTTTTATGTTACAGCTTCTAGGATTAATTGTTTCGGTATCCTTTGGAGTTTTTTCTATATATCCCGTTATACATTTTATTATCAAACGAAAGAAATTAGACCGAGAATAACGGCTGAACGATGGGAGCTATAGTTATCATTTTGTACAGTTAACAAGTAGTATATATTTCGGTAGGCTCTCATTGCTGCACTGCACTAAAAAACACCCTTTATGTAAACACTGAATGATCTCTACTCAACTATATCTATATAAGCTTCGAGTATTTAGGACGAGGATATGGTTGTAAATATTCTTTGTACCCACACTAGAGCTCGTCGGGTCCGGGACCAACTTGAGACAGGCTCTAATCATCACGTTTCTTCTATTTATATTACTATTATTATAGGAGAGCTAGTTTTTGTTTATATATAAATCAATTTTTATTTGAGTTCCAGAAATTAAGAAAAATAATCTATATGTTTATCATTTCTGAGAATATTTTTCTTTCATATCGTGGTTGAATAAAATCGAAAATGAAACAATATGTTTTTTTTTTTAAATAATAATTATTTTTCTTTGTTTAGAAATAATACAAAATGGCAATAATAATAATATGAATGACGAACAATCATCACTTGCTCTTTTATCTTCTGGTACATAGAAAACTTTTCTTTTTCACATCCTATTCATTAATATTTTCTTGTCATATAGGTGATGACAGTTCAAGTAAAGATTCGAATAATATTTTATTTTACGGTGGTATTGCTGCTGGTATTATTATACTAATAATCATAATAATTATTGTAATATATTGTATAAAAAAAAAGAAAAATTCTTCAAATAGTACAACAAGTATACAAAGTGCTACAAGTTTTACAAGTGTTTTTAGTCAAGAATAAATATTTCTTTTGTTCGACATATATCTTTCATCAATAAAATTTATTGGCATACATATAGTTAACATCATCAAATGATAATCATATAGTTTCTTTATTTGTTGTTGATTGACAGCAGACATGTCGCAAATGTTTCAAGGGGTCACCTATCTCTCTCTAACTAACTCTTGCGACAGTAATTCTCGTTGGTTGCTTCATAATTCAATCAATAAGAAAGTTCGCTAGAATCAATTATATAAAGAAAATGAATGTGGCGCTAAAATGATAATAACAATGGCATCGGATAACATCTATCTGTTCAATATGTTCAATTAATCCATACACGATGTGTCTTTGTTTTTTTTTACACATGATTATGAAAAAATAATGAAAGCAGCTGAAATAAAACCTTATCTTGAAGAAAAATATGCATTTCTCAGTGGTATATAACATTGATTTATGTTTTGTTACTTTTTAAAATATATTCATTTATATACTAGGAGCTATTGATAAGAAAGGTTATTTGATAATAACATTTCCAAGTTCAGCATCCATTGAAAAATTATCTAGTGAAGATTTAAAAAAACTTCTTATTTATTTAGCATCGATAAAGTAAATAAAATTAATATATTCGATTGTATAGTTTTGTTTTCATATTTCTATTAGTTCATCAAATGGTGATCCAAGATTTACTTTTATTGTTGATATGCGACAACGTACATGGGAAAATTGTAAACATATTTTTAAAGTTTTACAGGTTTGTGTTTATATTAGAGAATTTTAATATATATTAATTTTCTTTTTGGATTTTAGGAGCAATTTCCATATAAAATAGAACATGTATATATTGTTAAGCCGGATGGATTTTGGGATAAACATAAAATATCACTTGGCATGTCGAAATATACATTTGAAGTATGAATAATAAAAAGAGATATTGCAATAAGGTCGAGTTGTTCATTTCTTTTCGAACAGAAGGGATTGTTAGGAGTATTTTTTGCAACATAGTTTTGTTCTATCTCGACATGACTGTTTTCATTCCTATGGTCTCCCTAGGATTTCCGAAATTATATGCACTACACGTAGCTTTTCGTGCTGATTAAAAATATTCTATCGAAAATTGAAGACAATCAGGTTTGAATATCAAAAAGCGGATACTATTAATAAACTGATCACGTACTAGTTTTTCATCTCGCAATCTTTTTTTTTCCCATATAAGAAACATATCTTATTCTTAAAATATAAAATATTTGTTCTATTCATACGAAGTAAAATCAACTCTAAAAAAAATAAATGCGAAAACCTCGGATTTAAATCCGAGTGTTATGTGTACTGCGAAAAGTGAAGAGATATATTCACTGTTTTCTATCAACTGAGCCATATTTAGCCTATTTGCTTTTTGCATGCAGTTTTTCTGCATTTTGAGACATTATTCATGGGATGTTTTGTGAGAAAGCTACTATTTGGTTCAAAACTAATATCAGATTCGGAATCAGCGTTAAAAACTGAGTCGATTTATATATGTTGTGAATAATTCTGAGAAAAAATTTTTTTTTTGAAAAAATCCCTGTACCCCCCCTCAGGGATGGTCTTCTCAATAATGACAATTTTTTCTATAACTCAGTCATTTCTTGACGGATCCTGCTCATCTTCGAACTCGACCGAGAC